GAGAGAGAGAGAGAGAGAGAGAGAGAGAGAGAGAGAGAGAGAGGGAGGGAGAATTTATATTTATATTTTCGGCTAATTATGCGCGCGCGCGGATGACGGATTCGCCTTTTTTTGAACGTATAACGAGCAGTGCAGGGAGGGAGAATCCAACAAGATCGTGGAACCGCTAAAACTCGTGCACCTCTGGACCCGTCAGCTTCATAAATCTACTCGAGCATTGCGATGAGTGGGGTATTTTCTGTTGAGAGGGAGGTGGAGGGAGCAAGTGCGTACGAATTTTTCACTTAAGCGCGGTGTGATGTCTTCATAAATGCGAAAAATATCGTTTCTCTCAAAAATGAAAAAGAGAACGAAAGAAAGAAAAGAAAAAAGAACAACGTGCGTGTCGCAACAATGCGTGCCGTAATAATAATACTAACTCGGGGGTGAATAAAATTATAAATATAAACGAATAGAAGGAGGACATCTCGTTTAAGAGAAGGATTGAAAGCGAAATTTTTAAAAATTTCTAATTCGAACGGGCGAACGAGCAAATTTGGACGAGCTTATTCAAAGTAAATATGGCGAATTGAATGCTCTTGAGGTTAAGGAAAACGAATGGGACTCGATTCGTCGAGCGGGAAGATCAACCGACCGAGAACTTTGGCGAACTTGTTCGATTTGCCACGTGGCTTCGAATTGATACAAGTGGATCGTTTCGAAAAAGAAAAAGATAAGATGCAACAATCTCTCGAATATTCCATCGTATTATCGTGGCCACACTTTATACTTCTTTAAGAAAAAAAAAAAAAAAAAAAAAAATGTCCGGTTGAAGGAATTGGAACCATTTGTCTGGCTTAAACACTTCCTTCCTTAACCACTTCCTACGATAAATCTTCCGTAGCTTCCGCTGCTACGAAACAACGAACAACTTCTAAAAATGTAACGTATATCCCCTTTAAATTTTAACGAGAAACAAATTTGAATCGATCTTATTTTCTCCTTCTTCTTTTATTTATTTATTTATTTTTCTTATCAAAAATATTTCTCGAAAATTTATACACCACCATGAAGAGGAGATCTCATCTTTTTACCAATTTCCTGAATTTCTAATATTCGTATATTCGCGAGTGTCGAACGGCAAACATATCGTACGTAAGAGTTTGGGGAAGAGTGGGAGAACCGCGTGGCGCGCGGTTCGTTAGTAAACGTTTCACGAACGCGGCAACGCCGCAAGACTAGGGAAGCGTGTTTTAAATACAAAAATTTTTTATTTCGCTCACGTATTATCCTTACACACGTGTCCCACGTGTACAATTCTCCTCTCGCCCTTCTCCTCGTAGAAACTGGGAGAAGGGAGAAGAAGAGATTTTGCATCAGAATTATTATTATCATTAACATCGTTCGAATCCTCGAATCCTTTCGAATTCTTTCGGAAATATCCTCTCGTCCAATTTTCTCTCGCTCTCCCCTTTCACTCGTGTTTTCTTTATACCAAGGAATTCTTTCGCCCCTCCCACTCCCCCTTCGATCTCGCTCCCGGGGACGGATTTCGGCTCGAAGTTAATCCGAGGTGGCCGAAATTTCGGAGGAGAATCCTCCTTCCCCTCCTCCATCCGGTCAAGCATAATGGAAGTCGATAACCAAAGAGATTAGTGGGGCGGAGATTAGATAGACATATAGGACGATAGGAAAATCGGTGCACGGTGGCTGGCTTATCGTAAATCGTGTTATCAAAGCGACGTATAACGTATAATGTTTGTACAAGGGGCGGGGGGGGGGGAAGAAGGGAGGAGGGGGCCACTTGATCCCACGGCTAACTCGATCGATATTCAATTTCGCCTCTCGTTCTCGGCGATCGTCGATTACGTCGTGACGTCGCTTTTATCACCGCGAGGCCCCTCCCCCTCCCCCTCCCCCTCCCCCCCTGCTCCGTGATTACGGAACGCCTACACGCCCTCGGATCAAATGACTCATGACGATGATGTTTCACGACGATTCCGCGACGACTCGAGGCGCGATTCATGGTGGAGGAGGGGGGATCGTGGTGGATTTGTCTCGCGTAAAGAACGTCACGAATCCATTTCGTTCGATCCATCATCCCGCGACAAACCTGTCACTCGGGGCTTGGATGCGCCGAGACAAGAGGAGAGAGAGGAAAGTGTAAATATGTATATATATATATATATACGTGTCTCCCCAGCATCATCAATATTCTCTACACGTTTACGCAAGTTTGTACATAAAATTTTCGACGACATTTTCTTTTTCTTTTTTTGGAGTCGAAGATACGTGAAAAATATACGTGAATATTTTTTTTCAAGAATAGGCGCGGAGGAACGAACGGGGGTTAGAAAATTGGGCGTAGATTACATTGGCCATTAAATACACACCGTGTCTCGGAGCGTGAAACGCGCTCGCTGATAAACCATGTATAATTAAAATGTAATTTCTTGCCCGGCAAGTTTTAATCAAACCGGGGGCTGAAACCCCGAAGAAGCAACGAGAGGGGGATGATGATTATCATCGCGGTTACGGGTTTCTTCTTTCTTCCCTGTGAAGATATTAAAAAAGGAAATGGAAAAATCTTAATTTTCCTTTCCGAGGAATTATCGAGGGTAATTTACTTACCACCCTAAGCTAAGCTCGATCTACCCAGAAATTTGGCAATTAACTGGGAAGGCGAGACGATAATTTCATCATCGTAACTCGTCGCTCGTTAACCAGTCAATTATATCGAATGTTGGTTCCTTTTCGACCCCCCCTTTTCCGAAAGCAGAAAGAAAAACTTGATTTATATTTATATTATATTATATTTATAATATATATATATATATTAATTCATTTTCCTTCTCGATAGAATCATAATAATAAAATATAATAATAAAATCAGCCATTTTCGCCAATTTAGAATAATAATAACGCACGATGTCTCCTCCTTTTCTTCTATCTCGTGGCTCCAATCCATGCTCCAAATCCTCGAGACAGTCGTAAATTTTCACATCGAGTTATGAGCTGCCCCCTCACGATTGAAATTCCAAGCAAAAACCGAAGCACGCCTCGATAAAACGAATCATCCTCGATGGTGAAGGATGAAAATATGGCGCCACTCTCTGCTGTTGATCAAAGTGGATAATATCTCTGTTCTCTTAACTTCATCCCCTCTGCTGCCGGCTAACTCGTGCTAATTACGGGGGAGACCCGTATCGATTCCTCCTTTTATCCTTGGTTCCGGCAATTAGGGGTGGACCACGCGTGTTATTACCGCCCCTCGAAAAATTCTGATCGAAGCTTTGTCGCCGCCTCCCTTCAAGAAGCCGCCGCCATTCACTCGATTATGAAAGAGGAGAAATTACGAATCCACGAAAAAGAGGGAGAGGGGATCGAGACGAAGGAATTCGACGAATGGAAAACCATTCGCGTGTCGGAAATTAAAATTCTTTCTCTCGAACAAAGCGCTCTGTATCGCGAGAGAAAAAGTACTTTTGTGAGGAGAGTGATTTTTTTTTTGAAGGAAATTTGCGTTTCTTCGATACGAATTACGTGATAAGGATAATTTGTGTAGTAAAGGTTGGTAAAAAGGGGATGTCGAGAGGAGAAGTTGTTAGTAGGAGTACAAATTTCGGTTAAGTTTCGAGTCGTCCAGCCAACGGTGGATCTTACGGTGATTCGCGGAGGAGGGTTGCTTTGGTTCGCTCTGGATTTTATCATTTTGACAGTTCCGTTATTACGAGAAATACACCGCGCCAACATGTTTCTTCGCGCGATAAAATAAAACGAGTAATATAATTTCGAAGGGGAGAAAAAAAAGAAAAAAAGGAAAGATAAAGAAAGGAAATAGTAGGAGAACCATTTCTCCTATTCTTTTTTTTTTTCCCATTCTATTCTTGTAACAGCGAAATATCATTCACTTTTATTCGTTCGTCAATTCGACCAAACTTGTTC